AATTTGCTCTGTAAATCTTCACCCAAATCACAATAAGTAAGTAAGTAAATAAATAAATAAATAAAAGAATTGAGAGAGAGAATGGGAGGATGAAAGAGAAAGGAAAAAAAGAAAATAACAATGGGGATTATCTGATTGAGATGGTGTTATTTGGCAGGTTACCAAGAAAGAGTTCCAGCATTAGGAAAGTAAAACATGGAGTAAATACTGGAGAATACAGTAGATCCAGATTTCAAGGACAAAGTGGAAGCTCAAGCTGAGGCACAAAGTTAGCACCAGATTAGTAACCAAAGTGTGAAAAGTTGAGTGAGAGCTGCTTGATCTCTGACTCCTGAGGCAGAATTGACCTTAGAGACATTGCAAGATTGTACATCAAGTAGCTCCATCCCTAGTAGAGAGCAGAGAAAGACTAGGGAGCTAGGAATCCCTCAGAGGGACAAGAAAGGGAAAGCAATAAGAATGGCAGCAAAACTCTTGACATGTGACTAGTATTTTCATAGGGAATCCCAGATATCAATGATCTTGTTTGCTCTTTATAACCACCCTGTAATTTAGGTGGTATGCTTGTGTCATGGATAACAGAAAAGTCTAAATACTGAAGCAATGCACAAGTACATGATTATTGTGGCTGACAATAAGTCTTTTTACTCTGCACAATATTTGCTAAATGAAGTTTATAAATAAAGTAACAATTGTAAGAGGGATCAAGGTCCTTCATGACCTCAACAACCTAAATTTCCTCAACTGAAACCAGTTTGAATACCACTATGCCAACAGTTAAAAAAAAAAAAAAAAAAGAACTTCACTACCAACGAGTTGGTTCCAACTCATATAGAGTGATCATATTTTTGGTGTTGTCATGAGGTGCCAGTCAGCCACCTGGTGTCAGGTAAACAATATTAATCCATGGGGAAAGGACAGCACTTGTCTTCTCTGAGATGGTAAATTCTTGATTTGGATTTTCTTTTTGTATCCAATGTGCCTTATCTAGTACTATCCATGGGCTTGAATACTTCATTCATTGCTATGAAATGCTGCACAGCATTGCTTCCAATCAAGGAACTTATGTCAAAATGAAAAAAAAAAAGGCAATAGATATACACAGCATCTGCTGATTTTGTTATGCCCTATTATTTGCAGATGGTTGTTGTTGTTGTTGTTATGTGCCGTCGAGTCAGCCCCGACTCATAGCGACCCCTCCTTGGGTTTCCGAGGCAGTATCACTACGGAAGTAGTATTGCCCAACCTTCCTTCTGAGGAGTGGCTGATGGGTTTGAACCGCCAGCCTTCTGGTTAGCAGTCAAGTGCTTTAGCCACTATGCTACCAGAGCTCCTGGTAGACTTTAAAAATTGACATGGCATATTGAGAACTTAGTTCTGTTACTAGCTGATGGATGTATACTGTCATGTAATGTTAGTGTGCTGACTGCAGGATATATTATCTGAACCAGAAATCAACATTTGCACACACTCTCCCATGTGCTGAAACTCCAACCTAGTCATTTTGGGTCTCTCCTACCTCTAGAGCAGCCTTTCTAAGCAGAAAAGGCTGACATTATATTATTCTGATCAATTTTGATTATCAAGGGAAAATAAAATTGCTACAATACAGTAGGGGCTAAGATCTAAGTATATTGTTGATTCTGTGTACTACCATCCCCAGAGGTAAAAGGTATTGAAAACCTCCCATAACCTCTTCCATTACACTTTTCAAGGGCTCTAAACCTCATAATTTTGCTAAATGGCCAACTCTGATATGGGTTGAGGGAAAGAAAAATATGGAACAAGTGGAAGACATGAAGGAAAGTCAAAGATGTTGGGACCAACTGAAGACGTGAAATTTATAATATACACCTGTATTTAGTGATGATTCACCATTTGGTGGCAGTTAACAATATAGTAACATACCAATATCTTCTTCCCCTGCCACAGGATATAAGGAGCTCTGGTGGCATAGCACCTAAGGCATTTGACTGCTAATCAGAAGGTTGGTGGTTCAAACCCACCAGCCACTCTGTGGAAGGAAGACTGGGCAATCTACTTCCACAGAGATACCACCTCGAAATCCAATGGGGGTTGCTATGAGTCAGAATCAACTCGATGGCAGTGAAGATTTTTTTTTGTTTTTACCATAAGATATGCAGTATTTTGATGTGGGTTAAATTTGCCCTTAGTTCACGTGTTATAGAAAGGTGAGAAGTAGGAGTGGTATGAAAATAAGGAGTTCTGGATGTTAAAGCACTCAGCTACTGACCAAAAGCTCAGTGGTTTGAACCTACCAACCAGAGCATGGAAGAAAGATGAGGCAATCTGCTTCTGTAAGATTTACATCCCTGAGCCCCCTTGGGGCGGTTCTATCCTGTCCTATAGGATCACTGTGAGTTAGAATCAACTCAATAGCAGTAGGTTATGGTTTTACACATTGGGAAGGGAATAAGATTGTTAATAATTACACACATTTTACATATGTAAATAATACTAGATTGGACACACTTGGAAATACATGTATAGGAAGAAGAATATGTTTATGAACCAGCATAGCAGTGGAATGTACTGAAGATGACAGTAATAATATTGGTCAAACTCAGATTTTCCTAGATAACTAAGTCACTGTTACATATATATGTATACCCTCCCAAAGAAAAATCCCACTGCCATCCAGTCGATTTTGACTCGTAGCAACCCCCATTGGGTTTCCAAGGCTGTAAATCTTTATGTAAGTAGATTTCCTCATCTTTTGCCAACTGAGCAGCTGATGGCTTTGCACTGAAAACCTTCTGGTTAGCAGCCAGATGCCTTACCCACTATGCCACCAGAGCTTCTTATATGTAAAATACAGTGGAAGTCAATTTGCTGAGAATAGTATTTAGTTTTGTTTTGTTCTTGCTGAGTTTGTAGAAGTTATAGAACTTCCAGTAAGAGATGTTAAGTTCAGAGTTGCATCAATGTGTTTGGAATTCAAAGGAGAGATTGGGCCTGGAGATACAGATTTAGAAATCCTCAGTGTGTAAATTGTTGTGTGCTAATACTGCCTCGGAAACCCAAGGAGGGTTCGCTATGAGTCTGGTTTGACTCGACAGCACATAACAACAACAACAACAATGAATGGTCAAGGAGCCCAGATAAAATGATGAGAGGAACAGGATATAGCTTTAGAAAACTAAGGTTTAAAGGATTGGACGAAATAAAAAGTTGGCCCCAAAATGTGGCAGCACATTTTGTAACAAAATGTTACAAAAACAGCAAGAAAAATGTTGTAAGAGTGGAGGTGACTTCAGACTCCAGAGAAAGTACTATGTAGAGATTGCTAGAATCCTAAGCAGAAGGAATTGTAGAGAAATGACAGGTAGTGCAAATGGCATAGACAAGTGGAAAAAGAGAACAAAGACTACTTTTTCAAGTAGTTTTGAAGAGAATAAATGAAACAGGATAATGGCCTAAGGAGATGAAGGACATTGTACACAGCTGTGATATGACCCAATTTCTCTTTGATTTGCAGACTAATACTCTTATTACCATAAAATAAACACATGCTCAGTAATTGCTTGCGAAGTTGTATTTATTTTTCAGATCCAGTGAACAAGTGAACAAAACACCTGATTCTGAGAACTCACTTTTTAACATACATGTTTAGTCATTGTCACCATTTATGATTATTTTTGTTCACTTATAAAATAAATACCTAGCCTGTTACAACTGGAAAGGTAATGAAAGCGTTAACTCGCTTTAGTCATAGATTGTTGGCACTTGTCTATGCAAGAGCACGCTGTGATGTGCCTGTATTGGTAGGATTTTTTCTTGCCATCAGGGCAATCAAGAACAATTTCTCTGTATTCGTACTTTTCATCGTGGCAGCAAACGCATGAATTTTCCAGCTGAAAGATGTCATAATTGTACCTGAAAGAGAAGAAAATTCAATATTAAATATTTTTGGACTGGCTTTTGAAATAAATTGATACCAATACCCAAATTCTAGTTAATTGTATAACTGACTTCATAAGCCTTCCAACCAACTTATTCTTTTCCTAGACCTTGCATTTCCCTCTTTCAGTATAAACTTCTGGTGTGGAGCAGTGATAATTGGCATGTAAGACAAAAGAAATAAGAAAAAGAAATCCAAAATGGAGGTTTCTAATCTCACAGTTTCAGCATTATGGTGCAACAAATTTCATAAAGGCTAAGATAGATTTTTAATTTAATTTAATACTATTGTTGCCCATTATATTAAGCTATACATGAAAGTGTATACATACAAGGGAGAAGCAAAATATATGTCTAAAATTCAAGTCACATTTTAAGAACACATTTAGAGAAACTACTTTCTTGCTGAAGTACTCTCTGCAGTTACCGCAAGAAATTGAATACATTTGCCACAAATATGTTAGGCATATTTACAAAACTAGCTCAAATTTATTCACCATTATTGAAAATGTTTATTTTATTTTACAGGTCTAATATTTTATATATTTGCTTCATAAGATTCTGGCCATAAAAGTGTTGCTCTCATGTAAGAATTTCTCCATGTAATGTTCTAAAAGCTTAATTTCCTCAACAATATCACAAAGTTACTGCACAGCACACAAAGTAAAACTCACTTGATAATCGTCTTGCAATCCCCTGCACATCTTGCCATCTCAACTTTTTTCTTGCAACCATTGAACTTAACAGTCACATTGACAGGCGTAGTTTTGCAAATATTCTTACCTAAAATAAAACACGTAACAGGATTTTACATTTACAATTGCTAAGCCCCCATTTTTCATATTGATGAAATGGAGAGTAATAGTAGAAACTACTTCACAATGTTATTGAAGGGATGTTATTGATAGGCACCTGGCTGATTCAAATAAATGCTACCTTATTATTATGGCAATGATCAGTGTTACAAGAGGCAGAGAAGGGGAAGAAAGAAGGAGTAAGAAAGAAGAAAAAGGAGAAAGAGAGAAGGAGGGAGAGAGGAGAAAAAGAAGACAAGTGGGATGGTTTGTTTTTGACAGGAACTTTCTTATTGCAGGTTATCCTTCTGATATAATGTATCAACTTACAACATAATATGCTAATGTTAGGAAAGCAAGCTGAGCCCATGGAAATTAAAATTTATTTCTTATACATATAACTGACTTTTACTGGGAAGAATGCTGCAACTAATATAACCAATTGAATATAATTTATTATGTACAAATATTAATTGTTAGTATGTGCATATAGGTTAGGTTACCAGCTATTAAAATTCAGGAGGCTTTCTGTCTATGATCTGCCATTTTGTTTTAAAGAAACACTAAAAGTTTAAATTTGCATTTCTTCGTTACTCAAAATCTAATTTTACTTACATGTATAACAACATTTTTTGGAATCATAGACTCTCTCCTCCTGTAGGGTTAAGAGGATTAAAAAAAAGAAAAGATGAGTAAATGTCTTCAGAATTTTTTTATACATAATATGTCATAATATATATCATAATTTATTTAGATAGCATCACAAAGGGGGGAAATGAAAATGTGACTGAGAATTTAGACTAAACTTTTTTCAACACTGGATAGAAAAAAATATTCAATTTAAATTCTTCTGAAAAATAATATATAAAATATAAAATTATTGTTTGTTTAAATTAGAAAATACAATAATAATGACATTACTACTAGACTACGTTTCTGAGGAGCTCTGGTGGCACTGTGGTTACAGTAGTGGGCTGCTAACCAAAAGGCTGGTGGTTCAAACCCACCAGCTGCTCCATGGAGAAAGATGAGGCAGCCTGCTTCTGTAAAGATTTACAGCCTTGGAAACCCATGGGGCAGTTCTGCTCTGTCCTATAGGGTCACTATGAGTCAGAACTGAGTCAGTAGCAGTGGGTTTTAAGTTTCTCATGGACAGGGTATATTCTATCTTATATACTGTTAAAACCCCCAAATATATAAATGTCTCAGAGTAAAATCTCAATAAATGTTGCAATAAAACTATACACTATACTATTGATTACATCTTTAGAATGAACAATGATAATTTAAACTATAGCTTTCACTAATACTTTAAATTTAAGCAGTCATTAATATAAAATTCTAATCATATTCTTGGGAGCTCTGGTAGCATAGTGCCTAAGGCATTTGACTGCTAACCAGAAGGTTGGCAGTTCAAACCCACTAGCCACTCCTCGGAAGGAATGTTAGGCAATCTATTTCCATAGTGATACTGCCTTAGAAACCCAAGGAGGGGTTGCTATGAGTTGGGTCCGACTTGACGGCACAAACAACAACAACAATCATTTTCTTTGGGGATAGAAATAAAGACTGTGGAACAAAATTAAAAATGTATAGTACATGTGATTATATAGAGTATTTGTATTTTAATAGAAAATAGGGATTGACCTGAGTCCATGAGCCATTGAAAATAAAAGCTATTTGTTTTGTAGAAAAACATTTAAATGATTTCTCTGGTAACTTATCTCTTCTAGAATAGCAGTACAGTATGTTTTATATAATATACCCTTGATATGAAAAATAAAAGCAATAAAAGGTGGACAAATCTGCACTTATATTACTTTGGATGATATGACTTTGTGCAAAGAGATAGAGAATATCTAAGAGATTTCCTATTGGCAGAAATAAATTTTTCCAAGTGAAAAAGTTAATAGGCTGGGTTTATGTTCAGTATCAGGTATGCATCTTGTAACTGGATTAAGAAGATGACTTACTTCTGCACACCAGGTCTGCTTTGGGCAGGCTTGCACTACTGCAATGAAACCAGCATCACTGCAGGAGTAGGTGAGGCATGGGTTGCTGGGGTCATCAAATGAAGCACCAATCTGAGAGGAAGATTTGAAAGGAAACTATATTAGCCATGATTTCTTTTTGAGGTTGATAAAACAAGTAAAAAAAAATTAAAAAATAGGTTGTTTAGTGAATTTCTAGAGGCACTTTCAGCCAATAGACTAAAATGTAAGGAAAGGTAGACTGATAGTCCTACCTCCATGAATAAAAAAGTTCCTCATTGAGAGCACAGACTTTGTTAAGATTCTCAATACTCAAATCAGATTCATCTATAGTTACTGTATTGTATTTTTCAAGGATTTTCCAGAAGGATTATTATGCTGAGCAGGCAGTTTACTACTTGTTATGTATAAGCTCTGGAGCTCTGGTGGCACAGTGACTAAGGCATTTGACTGCTAACCAGAAGGCTGGCGGTTCAAACCCACCAGCCACTCTGCAGAAGGAAGTTTGGGCAATCTACTTCTGTAAAGATTTACTACCTCAGAAACCCAAAGGGGGTCACTATGGGTCAGCATTTACTCAGTGGCTGTGAGTTTGGTTTTTTGGTTTGGTATTTATGAGCTCTATGGAAAACAAGAAATCTAAGTAGAAAAAATTATCAAAACAAAAAAAATTATCATATTAGAACAAGTGAGTGTTCTCACAAAATGTTTTTATTTCTATCTTTGTTTTGTGTTCCCATGCTGTTAAAGCTCTCTAGATTGCTTTATAAGGAGCTCGGATGATGCAGTGTCTAAGGCATTTGACTGCTAACTAGAAGGTGTGTGGTTCAAACCTACCAGCCACTCCACAGAAGGAAGATGGAGCAATCTACTTCTGTAAAAATTTACCACCTTGAAAACCCAATGGGTGTTGCTAGGAGTTAGAATCAACTCGATAGCAGTGACTTTGTTTTCTATTTATTTATTTTGGAGGGGGTTAGATTGCTTTATAATTATCTCATATTCAAAATTCATACATTAGTTTGAGAAACTGTATTCATCAGGGCTTAAACCACAAAAAGAGCTCTTTGATAAACTGAAAGTTTACTATTTCAAATATTTTCCATCTAAATAGACATAAAACTTTTCTTTTATTCTTGTAAAATCATTATATTTTGTTTTTAAAAACTGACCTAGGTTCTTATGGCATATCTCCTTAGAAACTGAAAAAGAAGCCCAGGTAGAAATTTGGGTATAATAAAGAGACTATCAAATTAAAATTCTTAACATTTGCTAATGCTTAATCCACATATATTTTATTTTAGGTGTTTTAATATTTAGGATCACATGTTCATATACATTAATATGAGCATCATCTGATTTTCATGACCTCTTGATACTTTTTCCAAAGTGAAATTACTGTCCCAAATGCCAAATTAATTGTCACAATCCATCTCTGAATTTTCTGTATTGAACTAACAGTGTTCTGGTCTTTTGAGTTTTCCTATTTGATCTCTGACAGTTTGGCCATCTGATCTTTCTGGTTATAATTACAATTTAACTATGTTCATTGATTTGAATGTTACAAAGTTTGTCTTCTCCATCTGGCAAGGCCCCTGGGTAATTTTGTTAGGAAGCTCCACTGCTGGGTAGTTAATGATCAAGTATATTTTCTCCCTTTGAAGAGAACCATGATGAATGTTACATTTGCTGTTCCTTTTGAAATGGATATGGCAAGAAATGAACAGATTTCCTTTCTACCATTACTTATCCTTTCATATTACAAACTGAATGCATCTCAGTATACCTAAGTATTACATTTATTCAGATAATTCAATGAAAAAAAAAAACCACTTTAAAGTGAAAAGAAACTTACCTTATAGTCAGTATTGTTAAATAAGCATGTCTTTGGTTCTGAAAAATAAATACATTATCTTAAAATATTCTTTTTTTGCTTACACAACAGAAATTGTATATGAGATCATATTTATCATCCAATCATAATGTTTCTTCCCATAACATCTTTACCTCCCTTTTAGTCTACTGAATATATATCCATAATGGCTAATTCTGGATTTCCCTCACTCCCAAACAAATTTTAAGGGGACAACTACTCATTTTGTTTTATTTATCACACCAGGCTAGGTTAGTGCTTAACATATTAGTAGCTCAATAAACATTTGCTAAATATATGGATAAGTAAATAATGAACAGATTGAACTTGAATGATGTCTTACGGATACATACCACAGTATCCAACTTCACAGCAGGTATCATCGGATTTGAACTTTCTGAGCCTCTCTCCAGTTTTGCATGTGGGTGGGGAAGGGCACTCCTTGGGTTTACAGTCTACAGTTTTTGCATCAGTACAGGTACACTTGTGGCAATTGGCAGTCCATATGTCTCCAGGCTACAGACACAAACCAAGTTTAGAGCTCTGTTCAAATACAGGAATGAGAGCAATTTTGGATTAAAGTAGAGGAAAACCGTGTACTTACAGATTTCTCTTCTCCCAGAGGACCGTAGCAAACTGTTAACATGGAATTATAAATGGAATTGAATTTGGCAAAATATAACCATCTGTTATTTATAGATAACCACTCAGTGGCCAACACTGTAATTGGCACTACAATTTCTGAGTATCAGAATCATGGAGGATTAAATGGTGCTTTAAGGCAGATAAACCATACCTGGCTTTTTTGAGAAAACTGTCCCTAACAAGTACATGTATATCTTATTTTTACAATCCCCAGCAAAGGATGATCCTTAATTTCTTGTGACAATGATCAATAAACCTTACTGTTACTGTTTTACTGTTCAACTTCTGCCTCCAAAACCTACAAGTCTCCAAGGCTTCATAAATATAAGACTCAAGGGCATTTTCTCAACTTTTCAAGTTTTCTGCAGCAGTTGACATCATTAACTCTTACCTACTTAAAAATGCTCCCCTTCATTTTGATTAAAACTGTGACACTCTTGTTGTTTCCTCATATATGTTGACAAGATTCATCCTGTCTTTATTAGCAGCTCTCCCTACTTCTTCCCATTTTCTCTCTATCCTTTTCCCTGGTACTTCCCTCCATCTCCACACTGTCTACTGTAGCATTGAGTAAATGACTCTCAAATGTCTAGTGCAAGCTCAGACTTCTCTCTTGAGCCCTGGACTCAGGTCTCCCTCTGTCTAATAGATATCATCCAGGCAGATCCATAGGAACCTCAAACTCATGTGCACACAACAGTTTGTACAATCTTTCCTCTAAAACCAGCTTCTATTCTAGACTGGCTTACTCTTTTTAAAGACCCCGCTATTCTTTCAATCATTCAAGACTAAAATTTAGGGGCCATTTTGATTCCTTCCATTCCATCACTTGGTATCCAATCCAATATACTGTCAAATCGTCAGCCTCTCTTTAATCCCTTCTTTTCTGAGTTCCACATGCTAGGTTGTGCAATCTACTTCCGTAGTGATATTGCCTCGGAAACCCAATAAGGGGTCTCTATGAGTTGGATCTGACTCCATGGCAGTGAGTTAGACATGCTACAACACTAATTCAGAGCCTTAGTATCTTTCAGCTAGTGTGCCGACACGGCTTTCTGGAGGGGTTATTCTGACTTAGATCACTTCGGGTTGCAATCAATTCTCTACACCATAAACCAAACCAAACCAAACCCACTGCCACCGAGTCAATTCCAACTCATAGTGACCTCCATTGTGTTTTTGAGGAGGTAAATCTTTATGGAATTAGATTGCCCAGTCTTGATTCCATGGAGTGGCTGGTGGGTTTGAACCGCCAACCTTCTGGTTAACAGTCAGATGTCTTAGTCACTGTGCTACCAAAGGTCCTTTCTCTACACCATAGGCAGAATAATTTCCCTAAAGCATAACTCTCATCTCATCACTCCTCTATTTTTTTTTTTTTAAAAAGAAACTTCTGTTGTTCACTAATTGTGGTATAAAAGAAACAACTCATTCTAGCATTCAGCCTTTCAAGGTCTCTCTTAATTTAGCTCTAACCCACCTTATCAACTTTGTCTAACTTCTTTACATACTCTGGACTAGTATCTATATTGTTCTCAAATTCCACTTCTATAATTAAATACTTTGCGGGCTCTCAGAAAAATACAATATATGTGATATATAATATGAATCTGCTCCATATAGAATGCCTATGTTACTGTGAAATTTATTTTCTGCCTTATATGAAAATTGCTTGTTTCTTTGAAAATTTACCTTCTTCCACTATAACCTAAGGCCAGAGTATATTTTTGTTAGTAATTTTTACCACTTTCTGCAAAGTAGATCACTTTGTCTTAAGACAAATAGGAACTCAGTAAGAACTCAAAATTATGAATTCTAGCTAACTCGAACTTTCTTGTTATTGTTCAGTCCTTGATAAAGCTGAAATTATCTAGTTAAAAACAATTGATCAAGCTAACTTTTAAATACATGAAAAACTGAGTAACTAAACTTTATTCCTTATTTTAACCTAAGTAAAGAGATCATGTGTGTGGTTTGGCTTCATTAATTTGTATGAAGAAAAAAACCTACTATTCCCTATTTGTTTGACGAATAAAAGCTAAATTAATCACTTTAAAAATTCCTATTCTTTAACACTTCCATAGCTACCACCTGACTATTGGCATGATCTCTCAAATTGTATTTCCAAGAAAAATCATTAGTGCAGAATGCTTTTGAAGTGGGAGTGTTCTTACCTGGAGTTGGTGGAAGTGATGATGTTGGACATCCTATGTATATATGTATGAAGAAAATCAAAACATAAACAAGAACTTAATATCAATCTCTGATACTATTGGAATACACTGGGGTCAAATATAGTATTTAATTCATTCTTCTATTATGAATATAATTGGCTACAATTGCTAATTCTATGAGCACATAAATTTCCAGATATCACCCTTTTCTGCTCGTCATGAAATCCGAAATTTCCTTTTAATTGACTTTGTATTTTAATGGAAGGAGAACATGATATTTTAAAGCAGAAGACATCAAAGTAAACTTCCCTTCAAAAATTTCTTAGAAGACGATTCTGATGAATAGGACAATAAAATGCATAATTAAATAAGGAAAAGGATGATTCAGATATAGGTAAAAATTTAACTACTAATAATTAATTAGTGTTAATCCTTTTTGTCTTTTTGAAGTACTTCAATCTTGTTTTGCCTACACTCTCACCAAATGCTTTAAACGTGCCCTATGTGTCTTTTTCTGTGCCTTTACATATCACCTATTTTGGTCAACCCATGATCCACTCATAAATTTCAAATTTAATTTGAAATCTGCTAAACCCAGGTCAATATTTTTTCTACTTAAAAATGAAAAAGGCTGGCTTAGGAGCAAAGTAATATTGAAGAATAACTTAAAATTTCTAAGTGGTTGGGTAAAGGAAACTATCAGACAATAGCTACAGAAAAACAAATAAGAAAGTAGTCAGACATGGGAGAGTTTGTCTCAACTCTTTACTGAGGGAGGCTAACAGCTAATCATAAATGTCTAACCAATTAGCAGAAATAAGCCAGAGGAGAGAGAAATGAACTGTTAGGCATAAACACAACAGAAAATCTTTCCTGAATAGAAGAAGTCCTAGAAGAAACCAGATGTTTCTTGGGGGATATTTCTAAGAGGAGCCATAAAGAACAGCCTCTGAATCTCCACTTTGCTATTAGAGTCATTTCTCTAAAACAAAGATCTTATGGTAAAATCTTTAAGTGAGACCATTGGATAAAGACTCATTTAAGTTTGGCAATAAGGTCCTTCATGAACTTTGCCCTATTTACCTTTCCTATCTCATTTTCTCCCTGATCATACTGTCACTGACATTATCTGGTTAATTATTGCATTCACCCATGTAATCTCATGTCTCTGCCATTTAAAAGGCTCTTTGGTAGAACTTCCCTCTCTACCTCAGGCAATATTAAACACAATCATCCCTTCTATGATGTCTTCTCTTAACACCACCAGCTGATAGACAGAAATTAACATTTTATTCTCATATCACCCCCACGGATCACAACTGTACATGTTTTTAGGTTACCATGAGCACTGTAGTAATGGTATCTATGCCTCTGTATTCTTCACTTGAGCATAAAATCACTCAAAGGCAAAGCCTATACCTTACTGCCATCAGTGACTGCTACAGGGTCTTTTATATATATATATATATATATATATATATATATATATGGTGTTCAAAAATGTTAATTGAATAGATAACACAGAAATTAGGGAATTTCCCATACTGACCTGTTTTATTTTCAGTTTCTTGATTCCCTTCTACTATAGTGGTTCCTGAGGGAAAATGGAGAGATGCTATTGAGCCCTGGTGGTATCATGTTAAGTGCTCAGCTGCTAATTTAAAGGTGGGCAGTTCAAACCCATCAGCAGTCCTCAAGGGAAAAATTTGACAATTTGTTTTCATAAAGATTTACAGCCTTGGAAACTCTATAGAGCAGTTCTACTCTGTCCTATAGGGTCTCTATGAGTTGACATTGACTCGATGGAAACATGTTTTTTGGTTTATTGTAATTTTGTTTATTAGAATAAGTGTAGGCATATCAACTCTATATGTGTACGCATATGCCTGTGATCATACAAATTCACGCTCAAGCAAAGCTTCACTTGGAATAGACAATTTAATTTATTATAGTTTATTTGGGTCATCTTATTTTACCTGGATAGAATGCTTCTGGGGTCGTCACTGGTAACACCGAAGTAAAGCCTATAAAAGTGGTGAAACAGATTTCAGAATTAGTACACTTCATAATGCCATCTCAGAGAGCTCAAGCTGTATGACTAAGTCTTCAAGAAGGGAGCTCTGGTGAAAATCTAACCCAAAAAAATCCCAGAGAAGCAAGATACCCCTAGTTGGCCTTCAAAGTCATGTTCCAAAAGGAAATTTAATACCATCTTTCTGGCCTCTCTTTCTTGCCTCTTGCCTACCATCCTACTCCCCTAAACTAAACTCCTTATATATATTCAAAGCCACATCGATCATTGAAGATTTTGTATTGCCAGTGTTCACATGTTTGCAGTCCAGTCCCAGAGGTTTATTTGACTCCTGGGAAGCAGTGGCTACTAAGGGAGGGATAAAGTGCTAAGTACAAGGGACTGGAGAAGCTAGAGGTCAACTTCAGATAAGCTGTCCAATCTTCTGAGATGCCACCAAGTAATGTTAATTTCTGATTATTAGACTCACCTGTGGCAGAAATTCCAGGAGCCGTGGTTGTTTTAGATGCTTCCTTGTTGGTACCTAAAATGAACAGGGGGAAAGTAATGGACATTTTCAGGTCTTCAGGTAACTTCACATGAGCAATGGTCCTGAAGTACCTACAGCATACTGATGGCTCTACTGCTAGTCTGGGCCCCTCCCCCAACCACCAAAACATTAAGAGGTCCCGTCTTAGTAACTCCCTGCTCAAAGAGATAAACCAAATACTTTCCTAAGGCCCTGATAGTTTTGTCACCTCTGGGACCCCTTCTCTAAATAACAAGAACTTTTCTCATACTTAATTATTTCATTTCCTACAACTTGGTCTCATGGCTCACTTATATTAATTTCTGGGATGTAGAAATAATAGAGTGAGATAACATGAAAAACACATGTGTGTAAGTTTGGTACTTATTCCTAGAGATAAATGTTTGTTATCTGAAGTGTTTTGGTGTGAAAGGGGTGATAAATTCTGAGCATGTAAACTTCATTTGAGTCAGTCATTCCTATTACTTGAGTTGGAACTTTCTGGAATATCACTTGATACTACAGTAGTACCTCCAAAGGCAAATGAGGTGCATTTCATATTAGACATGCCTACTGTTCCTATATGAAAACATCAAGAGGTCTCATGGATTTATGCTTTGTTGAAAGAATGCTGGCTGGATTTTAGCTGCTACTCTCAACTTCAGCAGTGTGCCCTTGTGCATTTTCATAACTCATCTGAGGGCTGTGGCCCCAGAAACCCAGAACAAGAAGACAATCTTAGAAGAGTAGAGAAAGCACATTCCCTGATACAATTCTACCCTGTTTCTTGGGGTTTTATTTTTATCCTGTATATTCTACTGTGCTGCAGTAAAGACACAGGGGTCATAAACGAAGACCTAGAAGATTTGAACCACTGGTGTTCACGTCTTTGCATTCCAACTCACGAGGTAATGCTACGAAACTCCTGGGGTAATGCTGTGGCAACGCTACAAAAGGCAGTTCTCAAGAAGGGATTTTATTTTCTAGGCTTAGACACTTAGAGACACTTACTGAATATATTTACTTACCTGCAGTGGAACTTCCAGGCATAACAGTGGTACCTGTAACAAGAAGTCAGGATACACCTTACAAAGCCTTCCCCACCCAAAGTGTTGTATTGCCAAGTTTTCCTGCTTCTCTATAGCAATAGAAAATCATTTAATGAAGTTTTTTTTGCACAAAATGTTAAGTCTGGCATGGTTTCCAATGTACCTTCTCACAATTGCATGTTTAAAGGACAATTCCTTCATAGATCTCTTTAGAATCTGATTATTGAGAGCACTTTTTCTTTTATTCACATGCTTTCTTTCCAATGACTTGCCTCCCTTGTTCTCCAGTGGGAGAAAATCAGAAAAAAAAAAAAAAAAATCCTGTGTAAACTTGTGACCATGGATTAGGCATTTCAATTTAAGCCTTAAATTAATTAGCAAGTTTATTTGCATCTGTTTTAGTTATCTTCACTCACCTTCTTGGCTACTGGTCACTCCTAGTGATCCTTGGGTAGTACCTGACAAAGGAAAGAGTAAATTTCAAAGAAAGTAAGTGTCTGAAGAATTTTATCTGTAGTATTTTCCCTAGGAAAAACAAAGAAACTAATCTAGGTTGGCCTCATGATCTTTTATTAAAGGAAAGCCAACCTCTTTCAGCCATGCTTATTTCATTCTCAATGTGTGTCTAATAAATTTAAATGAAAAATCATTGAGAATAATCTGGCAAAATTCACTTGATGAAACTCCTGCTCCAGTGGTTCCAACACCTTTTTTAAAAGTTGTGGTCTCTGTGAGATTAAAAGAATAATATGAAAAATTTTGAGAACTTGTAAATATAAAAAGGTTACTGCAATGTATTAACTTGTCTGTAAAGCTGCTTAAAGGAGAATTCCTTTTGTGACTTGACCTACCTGTTCTGAAACTTCCAGTTGAGGCTGTAGTACCAGATCCTGTCCCAGGCGTACCTGGGATAGGAGAGAGAAGGGAAAGAGGGTAATAAGAGTATTATTTTTCTTATGGAGATTATATTTTTGAATAATTCTATGTGTTTCATGAAAAAAAATTATTCCTTCTCTAGGATTTCATGTATCAAGGGGTGCAATACATATGTTCTTCCTTGCTCTGTTTTATTCTCTGTAGTTAAATTGCATCTTCTAGAATCCTTCTTTTCCAGAGTTAGGATCATGGAAAGGGAACCTTCCCAAACTTCACCTTTCTTACTTCCTGATGCTCACCTGTTATACTTCCAATAGGTTGGCTCCCTGGAATTTTGTTGGTCAAAATGATGCTAAGTGGTGAGAATCTTATTTCAAAACAGTACCACCTTTTATTTTCAAAGTTTCATAACTGTAAGGTTAAGCCCTTTGAAAAGTAAATATTATTTTTAAAATGTTCTCAGGAATTTCTGATTTACCCTGAATTATCTGAGATTCTGAATCCCCAAAATAGAGGCAGCATAGTCTTCTGGGTCCTTTATGCTAAGTCAAACCTATACTGATATTATAGAGCTCAAACTCCTCCCTTTTGAAGCTTCTTTTGCCTTTGTCTACTGCTTAGATACTAAGGAGCCCAAGGAATTCTTTTTACTGATTTTAACACTTTATGTGCTCCTATAGCACCCATAGTTTCAAATATCATTTGTAAGCAAATGACTGACCAATTTCTATTTCCAGTATAGATCCCTCTCCTGGACTCCTTTCCACTAATCAGTCCTGCTGGACATCACTAGCTGGCCACCTCAGAAGCAATTCAACTTCACCGTATCTTCTATCATTTTTTTTTCTTCTTCTAGAATATTCCCAAACTTGATGAGTGATACCATCCTCAATCTACCCAGGCACCCAAACCATGAACTAGGTCTCATTCAAACTTCTTCTTCTCCTTCATCTCTTGCAAACTGTAGCTGGTTCTACCAACACAATGTTCATTCCTTCTGCCTCCCACTTTCTTACTGCAGTTGATAATTATCTCTCGCTTCTAACAGTCGTCAATCCAGACAACCTATCTACACTCTTACTCTCCTTTATATTAATCATCTACCCTTTATCTAGTAGGAAGCTCTGGTGGTGCAGTGGTTAAGGCATTTGGTTGATAGCCACAAGGCAGGTGGTTCAAACTCACCAGCTGCTCTGTGGAAGAAAAATGAAGCCATCTGCTTCATTTACAGCACTGGAAAGCCAGTGGCGATTGCTATGGGTCAGAATTGACACAATGGCAGTGAGCTTGGTTTGGTTTGGTTTTATCTAGTAGATTCTACAAAAAAGCAAATCTGAGATGGCAATCAACCTATCTAAAACCCTTCAATGACTTCTTACTCCATGCAGGGTTACATTCCACTTTTTTCCTTTTTTTCATGCTGTGAATGAGCTTTATGGAATACAGAACTGCTTATTTCTCACTTGAGGAAATATTTGTCCAATTTTTACATGTAGAAGCTCCAAAATACCTTCCAGCATCCTCTTTTGCATTGCTCTCCCTACTCCTGGGTTGTATACCAGAAGCATACTGGATTATTATGATTTCCTAAATATACTGGGCTATTTTTATCCCACCAGCCACTCCTCGGAAGGAAGGTTGGGCAATCCTACTTCCGTAGTGATACTGCCTCGGAAACCCAAGGAGGGGTCGCTATGAGTCAGGGCTGACTCGACGGCACATAACAACAGCAACAACAATTTTTATCCCATATATTTTAATAAAAAAATTTTTAAAAAGCCTTTCCTTGATCAATTTTCATTGAGTAAAGCAAAAAAAATATTAATATGACCCCAAGAAAATTTTCTATATTTATTTCAGTCATTTTAATATTTGTGGGTTGAAAATGCTTTGCTTCTTGATGACTTTACCTGTTATACTAGTGTCATTTGCAAAGGCAAGTGCAGAAATATTTTACCAAAAAACGATTCCTGTATCACTGAGAAGAGCTGAGAAACTATGTCCTAAGAAAGGTGCATCTGAAATCCTGAGTTCAGGGAATAACAGCATTACAATGACCAACCTCAATTTATTCAAAGGAATGAGTCTTCAAACGAAAAGTTTTATCATCTCCTGTCAGAAGTAAAATCCCATTAGTAAATAATGAAATCCCAACAATTCTACAATGTCATGACTGACCTGTTTGTATTCCACTTTTGGTGGTGGTACTGCTTAGTCCTGAAGTTGTAGCCTCTGAGAATTAAAAAAATAAAATAAATAAAAAAGAAAAAATTAAACAACATTGAAATTTGGGAAAATACTTTTTATTGCTTTAGTAAAAGGCATGTTCCCAAAGAAGATGGCTTCTTTGCCTGAGATACAAATGGAGAATTATCCTTGGTAATGACTAACCCACCTCGGAATTTGTATGTGCATTGTGGTATGAGAAGACACACCAGTGGAATTTTAAATGGAAATGAGATTGAGAGAGTAATATGTTCTGAAACTGAGAGAAACACATACATAGAGAGAGAGAGATCAATCATATCAATTGTTATTTTGTTACTGAGAATAACGTGGATCTGGACAAAGTTACATGTTTTATAAGCAATCAAAGAGATTCCTTATGCAAAGAGGAAAACACCACATTTTTCAACAGCCTGTTTTATTCCCCCAAAACAATGTATGGCAAACATCTTATTCTGGAGCCCTATTTATATTATTTAATACTTTGGAGAGAAGGGTTTTTTCTCTGCTCACCTGTTTTACTTCCAGTGACTTGGCTCCCTGGTGCTTCAGTGGGAACTCCTGGGGAGGAGGGGGTATAAGGAAAGAAAAAAATTTATATCTGTTGGCGTCTAAGTTATGAGGAAAATGATAAGAATGGATTTTATATTCAAGGGAAGTCTAGGATAGATAATTAAACATCTTTACTAACCAGAACTAGAATTTTCTGCTACTCTGGAAACTCCAGTTTAACCTGAAGTAGTACCCACAAAAGTAAGACATTAAAGAACTTAAAGTAATACATCATCCTTGTTGTTGGTAGGTGCCATCGAGTTGGCTCTGACTCATAGTGACCCTATGTACAACAGAACGAAACACTGCCCCATCCGGTGCCAGACCCACAGTCCTTGCTATGCCCATGCCCATTGTTGCAGTCACTGTGTCAATCCATTTTGCTGAGGGCCTTCCCCTTTCTTGTTGACCCTCCACTTTACCAAGCATGATATCCTTAGTTTCATAAAACTGTATCTAAAAGGCTGGCATACAGGGAAAATCTATCTGAAGAGCAAAAGCCCAAGACTGATTAGCATATCATCTATTTAAACAAAATACAAAAAGCTGTTTCAACTCAATTTTTCACTTACTCATTATTTGCTACAAACTGGGGAAAATAATGAGAATCAAAAGGCTGAAATAGCAAACCACTCACCAGTTGCCGTTCCAGTTCCAGTATTAGTCTTCACTTCTGTAGAAGTTGTAGCCTCTAAGAAGAAATAGGAAAAAGTGGTATGGAACATCACAATAACATTATTACTTCATGTGATATTCCTATAGGAAACATGGGATCCCCTAAGGTTCATACAGGCAGGCTTTACTACCCTCAATAATGACTCACTTGTGCTGGAAATCCCAGGTGCAATGGCTGTGCCAGGGGTTACCCCAGTGGTAACTGAAATCACAAAAGGAGAGTGCAATTCAGTTTGTGAATCATGAATCAATTCATGAATTTCCTTTCACTTAAAATTAGTATTTGGCCTAAAAAAAATTGATGGGTTTCTCTGATGAACTAAAAAAGTTTGTATCAGGAATTATCTTGCCTTACATGATACATCATGTATGGTTCCTATTATGCCACTGCATTACAAATATAGAAAGAGGATTTCACATGGGAGAAAGTGTTAACATCATGGAAATTTTTTTTTTTTTTTTTCACAAGGAAAGATTTAAATAGAATTGAATTCCCCCTATGTTCAATGTAGCCAATGTGATTTGCTGTTAGAGTAAAATACTAATTTTGATGCCAGTGCTCACCTAATTCAGTTCCAGCACCTCCAGAAGTTGTGGCCTCTAAGCAAAAGCAAGACAGGAGAGGAGGGGTAAATTAAGATAAATCATGAAAGTGAGAAAAGGTTGATAGAATTTTCAGGATATGGTAGATAATATGTTGGGGTATAGGATGGGGAAGAAAATAGTTCATTACTGGAGCTCTTTATATTCCCTTTAGCTTATCAATTTACCTGTGTTAGAACTTCCAGTTGCAACTGTTGTACTAGAGACTACTCCAGTGGTGCCTGAAGCAAAAGAGAGAGAGAGAAAGAGAGAGAGAGAGGTCTGATGGGCAATTCCTTTACCATCTTCAGAACAGCATGACCAAAAACAAGACCGTAACTTTAAAGTAGCAAAAAAAAAAAAACCTTCTTATAGCTATCCTGTCAAAGCAAAGTGCATTCTCCATATTTCATCGTGTGGCTATTCGAGGCTAATGTGAGTACATTGGCTTAGGGTCTAGACTTGATTTGCTTCTTATAGCCTTTCCCAAGTTTACCTGTTTTGCTTCCAGGGCTTTCCTTTTCAGATGTTTCTGTGGTGGCTCCTAATGTCAAGATAATAGAAACAGTATCTGTGTAAATGTATTCAAGTGTATTTAATGAATAAAATCCTAACACCTGAGGTCCAAAATTTGATAGATTTAAATCTTCAGAGTTATTTCTAATATCTCTGTGTCTCTGAATACAACTATCAGGACATATATTGCTTCCATCTGACACCAGGAAATAGCTTGAAACTTTTCTGGGCTTCCCTCTTCAGAACTGTAGCATAAATTTTGCACAAAAGGAAATGATATAATTTTTAGAAATGTAAGCCCAGATGGTTAACAACAACAATGACAAAAATATCTGGGCTGTCTGATATATTGCGACCCAAAGGAAATTCAAACATTCTCTCCTATGCTTCCTCTAACAAATATTTCCATGAAGAACCAAGGGCAGAATATAAATTAACAGGAAATCAAGAATTACCAATTCTAGTTTTATTTGTTATGCTTCCTTTTATGAGAGTTGTAGCATCTGAGAGTGGAAAAGAGTGTAGGGAGGGCTAATGGAAAGTCATAAAAAGCCCCACTGTACTTCTGTTCCAGGGTTAGTCCTGAGAGAGAAATAAAAACACTTCCTTCCTCACTGACTCACCTGTGTTAGTATTTTCAGGTGAGATGGTGCTCCCAGGGACCACTCCAGTAGTACCTGAAAACAAAGATGAAGGGTATAATTATGTCAATTTTATTCCTTTCATAAGAAGAATATATAGAATACAATGGAGAATCTACCGAATTCTTTATTATGTGAAAACACCATTTTTAGGGATAGCTTTTTTCAGAAATTATTTCGTATACTTTGCCGAATGTAATTCTTCATCTCCAAAACATATCTGGTGCTGGGGGTGGAGGGATAGTTTCAATGATAGTATTTTTTTCCTTTGGGCTCAATGTCTGGGGACAGGTGTGTGTGTGAGTGTGTGTGTGTGTGTATATATTTTTAACTTGCCCAGTGTGCATTTGACTGCTAACCAGAAAGTTGGTAGTTCAAACCCACCAGCTGCTGCATAGAAGGAAGATGGGGCAATCTAGTTCCGTAAAGATTCACCACCTTAGAAACTCATTGGGGCTTGCTATGAGTCAGAATTGACTCAATGGCAGTGGGTTTGTTTGTTTTTCTATGAATGTCAGTGACTTGGCTACCAGATCCCTCTAAAAGGAAAAAAAAAGAAGAAGAAGGAAGCAAGAAATGACTACCTGTTGAATTTTTATGTGGATTAAGTACTAATGTAATGAAAATTTTAATATTCTAGAAACATTTGGTGCTCTGGTGGTGTGATACCTAAGGAATTTGAGTGCTAACCAGAAGCCTGGTAGTTCAAACCCACCAGCTACTCCACAGAAGGAAGACTGGGTAATCTACTTCCATAGAGATACAGACTCGGAAACCCAAGGAGGGGTCGCTATGAGTCAGAATAAACTCCAAACGTTTATATATGGGACAAGAAAATCTAGTGGTATAGTGTAGAGGTGGTATATTATCTTGGTTAAATAGAAGACCTTTGGAACCAGACTGCCTGAGTTGGGAATCTGCTGTTCATTTGGTGTGTGACCTTGGGCAAGTTACTAAATATCACTGAGTCACAGGTTTTATCAAATGTAAAAACTGTGGTAAAATAATATCTGCATCACAGTTTGGGGTGAGGGATAAATAAGAATATGAATGACACAGAGTAGTGCCTGGCACATAGAAATGCTAGGAAACATTATTTATCATTGCTATTGTTATAAGTGAAGAGTGATGAGGTTAGGAAGGTTGAGTTCTCACCTGTATTTGTGCCAGTTCTTGTGGTTCCAGTGCCTCCAACAGAAGTGGTAGCCTCTAAGAGGGAGAAAAGGTGGAAACAGTGAGGTGAAGGGGATTTAGGGTTCTGAAGAAAGCTAAAGTCATGCTTTTCTGGATAATGATACATGAGATGTACACAACAACTACTAGAGGTCTTCCTGTGGAAGATTGCCTCACCTGTGTTTGAACTCCCTGGTTCCAGTGTGGTATCAGAAGCTATCCCAGTAGTGCCTGCAACAAGAAGGGAAGTGGTGATTCTTCTCTCATGAAGGGAGCTAAATTGAGAGGGAATCTACCTGTCTTTTGGTCTTTTTCAACCAGGTAGTAAATTATTTTTGTTTTCTCATGCATCATTTTACTTGAAAATAAAATAAATATATAAATTTGTCAAAGTGGAAGCCACTTTTTTCCAGGATTTAATGTCAGTAAGATAAGGATTAATTGTGCCCCACCCCTTGTTTCTCCTGTCCCTTTCTTGCTATATTCACCTGTTCCTAAGTTTAGTGACTGTCCAATGGTAGCTCCTAAGAGGATGATAATAGGAAAACTTTTGAGTATAAGGACAGACTCAAGTCATTGGGGTAATCACTATACATTTTGGTCTAATATACTGAGGTAAAAATAAAGTCTACTGTATTGAGATAAATTTTGTGTGTTCATTTGGCATTATGTTTACCTGAAATAGAATCTTCTGACCCTGTATTTTCTTCAGCTAGTATCTTTTCCTGACAAACAGGAAAAGAAAACTTTCTAGACAATTATCACTTCCACTCTCATTTTAGGGATCTATATATGGAAGCTGGGCTCTGGAATTGGAAAGATTTCAAAACTGTCCAAATTGATTGGAAATCAATGGTGAGAGTTTCTAAAAAGCTAGGTAGAGACAAGTATTGATTTGGGTAAAGGAAAGGGCAATGTACCAATAGTGAATGATCAACATGGTGGCACTGAGGAAGAGGAAGGCATAAAGAGGTACGTAGGAGGTATGGACAACAAAGACAAACCCTTTTGTATGTACAATACTGTGTTGTCAATGATAGCTAGCATTGATCTATGGGTGGGTAGATAGGGGGACAGGCTGAATGATTAGGTATGTCTAGGTAGTGGAGAGTGTGCCCATGACTATATATAGGGTTGCCAGACAATGTTTCTATGTACATATTTGTACATGCTGTAAGAATGTCCAGGTGTATAGTAGAACTGACAAAGGACAAATTTGTGGTGGCTTCGTGGCCACAGCCAGCTACCCTAAGGGAGCAAGCAGTTGGACCTGTGGACTTGGAACCATAGTCAAGGGGGACATCAAGCTCAACTGGCGTAACATATTACACAGAAACAGTTCTACATCATACTTTGGTGAGTAGCAACTGGAGTCCTAAAAGCGGTCCTCTAGATGCAATGATGGATCTCTCCTCATCCAGAGAAAAGAATGAAGAAAACCAAAGATGCATGGAGACAATTAGTCGATGGGACTAGTAGACCATGTGATCCTCAACCTATATGACCATGAGACCAGAAGTACTAGCTAGTGCCCAGCTACCACTGTCAACCACTTGGAGGGGGATCTATGTAGAGGATCCTGGATAAAGTGAGAGAAAAATGTGGAACAAAACTCAAAATCATCAGGGAAAACAAAGGCCAGTTCTGCCGGTCTGATAAAGTCTGGTAAGACCCCTGAGAGTATGGCCCCTAACTATCCTTCAGGTCTGGAACTGAACTCACTCCTGTGGCTTCCAGCCAAAAAACAACCAGGTATATGGGGTGAACATTGATCTCAGGTAGATACACTCCTTGGAGCAAACAATCAAGGGAGAACAGAAGGATAGTGTTTGTACAGAGAGATAGCATGGGGGGCAGGAGTGCATAGGAAAGGACACAGGGAAGTGGTAACAGGGAGGAAGTGGTACAGAAAGAAAGTAGGAAGAAAGCTGTTACATTGTGGGGAATTGCAGTCAATGTTATGAAACAAACTGTGTATGAAATGTTGTATGGAAAATGATTTTGCTCTGTAAACTTTCACCCAAATCACAATAAAATTAAAAAATAATAATAATAAAAATAAAAAGCTCCTCCTCAACACACTATCCTACTAAGAAGTATCATTGTAATTTATCATCACCCAAAACATACACCACACACAGAGTACTAATTTTCTCCTGCTTTCTATCCCACTACAGTGGTTTTTTTATTACCTCCTGTGGAAATTGTGGCTTCTGGAAGAAAAAGAAAAGAATCAGGTAAAGGAAGGGAATTTAGAAAGAAGAGAAAGTATATTCTATGAAAATATATTCTATGTATATTAGTAGAGCAGAGGAGTAGTAAAGTATTAGTAGAATAGGGTAGAGCTACATGGAAGACATTTCTGTCATTTCCTTCACACCTTGTTAACCTACCTGGACTTGAACTTCCAGGTGCAACAGTTGTGCTTGAGGTCACACCAGTGGTGCCTGAAATGAGAAGACCAAGGAACCTTCTGCACTGAAGTAATCTTGATATAAAATAAATCTCTATTTCTAGAGCTACACCGTTCATTGAGGTATTGTGCACTGGACAACTCTAGGAGACTCCATTTGCATAGATCCTTTTGTCTACATGGCTGTCCCATGACTGCATTTCATTGGCCTTCATGTTCCTGAATTAAATCATATCTTTTACCCATGTGTGATTTACTTAATCTAGTAAATATTTATTGATAGCCTATTGAATATTAGGGAGCTCTGGTGGCACAGTGCCTAAGGCATTTGACTGCAAACCAGAAGCTGGCGGTTCAAACCCACCAGCCACTCCTCAGGAGGAAGACTGGGAAATGTACTTCCGTAGTGTTACTGCCACGGAAACCCAAGAAACAGTCTCTATGAGTTGGATCTGACTTGACGGAAGTGAGTTTGGTTTGGTTTTTGGATTGAATATCAGGGATTTTTTAGTGAACAACATAAATGAAGCCTCTTTTCTCAAGTAGACTGTCATCTATTTGGTTTAATAAGCTAATATAATCTAAAGCTGCACATGAGAGACAGAGGAATTTTTCTACCACATTTACCTGTGTTACTGAGAGTGACTAGATTGACTGATGCTCCAGAGGTGGTACCTTATGGACAAAAGTAGTGCCTTTAGGCACTATGCTACCAGAGCTCCTATTTTAATAGTCAGATGTTTAAAATAGAACTCTTTGTGTCAAATATTCTCATGTGATACTGTTTAGTCCATTTGCCTGGATTGGGACTCTGTGAACTGCTACTGACTCCAGGTGAAGCAATCATGATAGTTATTAACATAAATAGAGTGAAGCTTCAAAATAAGTATATATTTTCTCATTCAACTAATATTTATTAAGCATCTCTTCTGTGGAATATTGGTTTAGGCCCTTGGCATGCATCAATGAGCAACATATTCAAGTAGCATAGTGCCTAAGGCACTTGACTGCTAACCAGAAGGCTGGCGGTTCAAATCTACCAGCCACTCCTTGGAAGGAAGGTTGGGCAATCTACTTTCATAGTGATACGCCTCGGAAACCCAAGGAGGGGTTGTATGAGTCGGGTCCGACTTAACGGCACATAACAACAACAATGGAGCTTCCACTCTAGCAGGGGGAGACCAGCAGTCAACAATAAACATAATAAATAAGTCAATGAGATAGAGGTTGGTAGGGAAATACTATGAGAAGATTAAGAACACAGTGAAAGGACTGGGTGTTGTTAGGTATGGCTGACCAGCAGGTTGCTTTCAGTCCTGCTATCTAATAATTAACTCTGCAAGTCTGGGCCCCAGGAAATCCAGACAGAGAAATCTGAGTTTATGGAATTCCTAGGAAGAAACGAGTTTGTAACTGGGGCATTACATTGTTTTATTAAGGACAAGAAATAAGAAAGCAATGTAATGACTGTTTTGTGTCCAAAGGAAATTCAAGGCCCTTTCCTTGGCCCACCTTCATATTCATGTATTCATTGCAACCACTCAAAGAAAGATTTGATGCAAATTCCAAAGTCTCAGACTGGAAACGCTTACCTCCTGGCAGTTGTGCTTGGGTAGTTCCACTGCTTTCTATGGAAGTTGTGGTCTCTGAGATAAAAAAGAAAGGAAGAAATAAACTCCAGGAATATGGGAGAGGATAGGCCGGTGCTATTGCCCAAATATATCTTCCAAGGTGCATATGTCCAGGATTTTACACATATTTTTAGACTTACCTGTGTTGTACCTTCCAGGTTCAAGAGTCTTTCCAGAGACTACACCAGTAGTACCTAAAAACAAAAGGGATGGGCAACAGTTAAATTTCTGGTTCACCACTTGATTTAAATAGAAATCTAAATGCTTCTTCTATGTAGCAGAATACTATTATACTGAGATTTCTAGTGCCAAGAAGTAATCCATATAACACTTTTTTTCCACAGAAAATTTATTAAGAAAGTTTTCACATATCATCCATTTCTCTTTGGTGTTCAATTACAAGGAGATAGAAAATTTTTTCCTTATCACCTATTTATGTATCATTAGCTGAGACTCCATGATGATCTGGTAGAGGCTCTTTTAAAACTAGGAAATGAGGAGGCAATGTAATAACTATTTTTTTTTTAAATTTTTTCTGAATTTGAAGATATGGTACATAGAGTGTAGATTGATTTTTGGAAGACTGTTTGAAGACGTTATTAGGAAACGTAGGTATTGGCCAACAGCACTCACCTGTGGCTAGTCCACCTCTTGTTTTACTTTCTCCTGGGGAAGTTGTAGCCTCTGAGGGAGAAAAAGAGGAGAGAGAGTTCATTGGAAAATATTCAAGGAACATTGAAAAGTTATGGTGGTACTTCTGCAAATGATAACATCAGAGGAGACAGAATTATGGGAGGACACATGGAAGATTGCATATTAACTTGCTGACTTACCTGTGTTGGAACTTCCAGGAGCAACAGTTGTGCCAGGAGCTACCCCAGTGGTACCTGAAACATGAAATGACTAGAATCATCACAATGACTCAAGTGTGTTTCCTGAATATCTGCTTTCAGGAGGATCTATTTGTATCTTTGTTATATTAAAGGACACTTGCTCTAGATCCTGGTCTAGTGATGTTTTCTATTAATCATCGTATTATCAAAGCAAGCAGAGTGGCTGATTTCTCAACTTGAGGAAATATTCCCAGCATCCGTGACAAAGAGAAAACATAATTTTTCCCCAACTAGTCTGTTTTACTGCCAGGGACCTGGCTCTCTAGTGCTACATTTGTCCCTGCTGTGGATTATTTTAGAGATTGAGAAAATATTGATGGTTTGTATTGTTTGGGTGGCATAGAAATATCTATATAGCAGCTCAGACATATTTCAAAGTTTCATTTAGATCTTCTCCACTTCCTGGGAACAAAATTATTCTTTGTTCTTACTGAGGATACTCTAGCAGTTTTTATACGTAATAGCATAGGAGAAATTTCTCAGAACAATTACAACAACTGTGCTGCTTAGAAGAATTACAGCTGAGAGGCTCAACTCTAGTACTGGTAGATTTTTAAGAAGATGTCAAATATTAGGGGGGAAAAAAAAAAGATTTGGCCTCAGATGCATTATCCCAAAATAAATACACAATATTCTATAGGCAAGCCTTCTTCTACTTCCAACAAGGTCATTGTAATGACAATCATTATTTGTTACCATCCAAATCCTGGGATGCTCATCCTCACCTGTTTTAGATTCACTTCCAGTGCTGCCTCTCCCTTCTGTGGAAGTGGTGGCCTCTGAGGTGGGGAAAGGAAAAAAAGGAGAATCATGAGGTCTGTGAATTGGTGATACTAGTAGTAAAGAGACATCCTTGCTCCTCAGCACTTGAAACAGTTCCTTTGCGGTTGACTTTCCCAATGCTACTGTATTTCAACCCCCATCAGTTAGTGCCTCAAGTCATCCTCACTTTCAGCAAGCAAAGTTGTATCATCTCCATATCTCAGGTTGTTAATGATTCTTCTTCCAATCCTGATGCTGCATTTTTCTTCATATAGTCCAGCTTCTCGGATTATTTGCTCAGCATATAGATTGAATAAGTGTGGGGAAAGGATACAACCCTGACGCACTCCCTTCTTGATTTTAAACCATGTAGTAGTGCCTAAGGCACTTGACTGCTAACCAGAAAGCTGGCGGTTCAAACCCACCAGCCACTACTTGGAAAGAAGATGGGGCAATCTACTTCCATAGTGATACTGCTTCGGAAACCCAAGGAGGGGTCACTATGAGTCAGGTCTGACTCAAAGGCATATAACAACAACAACAGTGTCCCCTTGTTCTGTTTGAATGACAGCCTCCTGGTGAAGGTACAGGTTCCTCATGAGTACAATCAAGTGTTTGGGAATTTCCATTCTTCTCAATGTTATCCATAATTTGTCATGATCCGCACAATTAAATGCCTTTGCATAGTCAATAAAACACAAGTAGACATCTTTCTGGTATTCTTTGCCTTGAGCCAAGATCCACCTGACAACAGCTATGATATCTCTTGTTCCACGTCCTCTTCTGAATCCAGCTTGCACCTCTGGAAGTTCTCTGTCAATATACTGCTGCAACAATTTTTGAATTATCTTCAGTAAGATCTTACTTGCATGTGATATTAATGATATTGCTCTATAATTTCCACATTCTGTGGGATCATCTTTCTTTGGAATGGGTACAAATATGGATCTCTTCCAGTCAGTTGGCCAGGTTGCTGTCTTCCAAATCTCTTGGCATAACTGAGTGAGTGCCTCCAATGGGGCATCCGTTTGTTGAAATATCTCAATGGGTATTCTGTCAATTCCCAGAGCCTTGTTCTTCACTCAGCTCTGGTAGCATTGTGCCTAAGGCACTTGACTGCTAACCAGAAAGCTGGTGGTTCAAACCCACCAGCCACTCCTCAGAAGGACGGTTGGGCAATCTACTTTCCGTAGTGATACTGCCTCAGAAACCCAAGGAGGGGCCGCTATGAGTTGGGTCTGACTCGATGGCAAATAACAACAACAATCCTAATGCCTAGCTTGTAAAAAAAATTTAGAAGGGAATTTCATCATGGTAGTTAGAGAAAAAAAGTAGTAATGGAGGCATGGGCTGACAAGTAATTCAATGAGGCTAAAGCTGGCATGTGAAAGAAGATAATGAGACATAAGTGTGGAAAGTAGATTGGACTCTTAAGGTCTCCAATATGAGACTAAAGAATTCTGAATTTGTTTGAAGGACAAGGGATAGCTGCTAAAGGTTACTGAGGACAGAAATTGCATGAGCCAAGATACAGTCAACACAGGATCATCTACTGCTATTTGGTGTATATTGCATCTGAGAATATGGAGAAGACTGGAGGTGAGGAACTTCCCTGCAATAGTCCAGACTAAAGATTAGCATGAATGTGAATGTATTAACTCATTCAACTAAGGAAAATATAGCAGAGTAGAAAGAGTTCAGGCTTTAAAATCAACCATTCTTATCTGGTTTTACAGGTAAAATCTCTGAACCTCAGTTTCTCTACCAAAAAATTAGGGCAAATAATACCTACATTGTTCAAATGAAATAATAAATGAAATCCAATCAAGATTCAACTGTATTGAGCACTTATTATATGCAATGATCTCTAGTAGGCACTGAGTGATATGCTGATTGATACGTAAGACATGGTCCCCACCTGATAAAATTTTGAACACTTCATCAGATAAGAGCCAAAAAACAGGTTCTTTCCTGGACCTCTTTAATTAAGTCACCAATTAATCAACTAATTCAGTAATTATTTAATTCCTTAACATACTGAGCACTGGTGCAGGCACTGGGGATGTATATCAGTAAAGAAATTAAGAAAATATGTCCTCATGGAGCTTATATTCTAATGTAAAACAAGTAGAAGGGGAAGCAATTTTTAAAAAGTGAAAAGTTCTCAAGAATAAACTTCTTTTGTTTATCTTTTAAAACTACTTTTAACTTTAAAAAGAGACACTGAGATGCAATGAAAGAAAAATAATTTTCATGGAAATGGTAGGTGACAAATAATACTAATATGCCGAGAAATTTTGGGATTGTTTTTGTTTATCTGATTGATCTTGTATGTTGGTACAAAATCAGAGTAGAATTTAACTATTATATAAATATGTAAGTTTAACTATTATGTAAATATAATTATTATCTAAATATGCCTTTATTACAATTTAAAGAGGCATAAGAATAGAAAAGCAAAAGGCCAATGTTACCAAAATCTAATTTAAAGTTCATATTTTTCAAAATCTGATAAATTAAGACTGCTGCTATCATGTTTTTTATTCCAATAACTACAACATCATATCTTTTTTTTTTTTTTTTTCAAACAGACATCATATTTTCTTACCTGGTATTTCAGGTTGTTTTGTTGGCTCTGAAATTTAAAAAAAAACAAATATATTTACAAGTGTGCATTTTTTATTTATCTCAATTCACAAAGGACAATTGTTTCAGATTAGAGTTTCGGAAGAGTTTCATAGTACCTTAGAGCTTTGTCAGTGCTCCAACGGAAGATAGAAATGCTAATTGAAGCCACATGTTCAGAAGCATATTTTCGAGTCATTTTAATTTCAACTTACCTACAACAAGTGCTGGTGGAATATTTCTATAGGAGCCTAATGAAAGAAAGGTTAGATCCATGTTTCAATTAAAGAATATACTTGAATTTTATTTTTAGAAAGTCATGCCAGTGTTTCAACTGCCATAATATAGAAAACATTTATTAAAAAGTAGAGGTACATTATTTCCATAAGACATATCTTAGAAATTCAAGTCAAGGTGAGAAATCTCCTTGGAGAGAAATTGTAAAGTGCTCTTAAAAGGAATCATCTATGAGCTATAAATTATCAAACAGAAAACAAAACCATTGTGCTTTTTTTTTACATTGCATGTGTGTAAATAATGTGAATTATTTACACACATGCAATGTAATGTGAATTATTTACACACATGCAATTCTCATTTGGTTCTCTCTAATTCAAAGCCAAAATCAAACTTAGAAAATGTTAAATATATATATATAAAATATATACAGTGCCCCAATAGTTACATACTTACATACTTGTTGCCCTGGCTTCAATTTATAATGTATTTGTAGTGTTCAATATAGTGTTAATCATGCCAATTTACTTATATTTGCATACATATAGATTAAGTAAAGAATAAATATAAATTTAGTTTGAACGAAATTAATTATTTCCTAGTGACTAATTTGTAAAATAAATTTATATAAGGGGACTTTTTAACAGTAGTAAGAACAAATACGGCATAAATCTTTGTGAGAAAAAATAAGCGCAAACAATCTATTACTTAATTTACTAATGGAAATTTAATCACTAGAGCGTATGATCTTTTAGATACTCTGTAAATTTAGAAATGCTGTCTATTTCAAGAAATGTTATCACTAGCCCAGAGACTATATTATAGCCTTGAAAGAATAGTTGATTTAATCAGTATTAGGGAAAAAAATTTGTCCCATAAATATTTATTAATTTTATGCTAGGTTAGAATAATTGTAAAGAGAAAGGAAATGATGCAATTTCACATTTAAAACAATAGTATTATAATTTTTTCAAATAAAATGCCTCCAATTTTGCTGTTTCAGAACATTAAATGCCATAAAAATTTGTCCTTATATAAAATGTATTAACTTTCATTTTATTATCTGCTGCTCCAGTTCCTGTAGTTACAAGTGGTGAAAATTTAAACTTTGTACTTTAAAAGAAAGCAAGATTTTATTGCTTAATCAAGGCATTTACTCTAAACCAGAAGGCTGGTGGTTCAAACTCACCAGCCACTACTTGGAAGGAAGATTGGGTGGGCAATCTACTTTTGTAGAGATACCGCCTCGGAAACCCAAGGAGGGGTGACTATGAGTTGAATCGACTCGACAGCAGTGAGTTTGGTTTTTTTGGTTTTCTATAAAGGGAAGATAAAACCCAAAACTCACTGCCACGAGTGGGATCTGACTCATAGTGACCCCTCCTTGGGTTTCTGAGGCAGTATCACTACAAAAGACAATTGCCCAACCTTCTTCCTTCCTAGGAGTGCCTGGTAGGTTTGAATTGCCAGCCTTCTGGTTAGCAGTCAAATGCCTTAGGCACTATACTACCAGAGCTCCCAAAGAGCAGATAGCATCCTGATTTTAGAACCCAATTTTTGAAGTGAAAACTGGATAGAAGTATTGTATGCACCATTTGACTACCTGTGAAATCTGGATTAAGTGAGGTAATATCCCCATCTCAGTTTCTCTTGAGAAAATTGAGATAATAATACTTATTCAAAGAATGATAATAGTAATGAAATGAGATTATGTATTTAAGGACATTGTAATTATTTAACTGTTGTTGTTGTTGTTGTTGTTGTTGTTGTTATGTGCCGTGGAGTCGGCCCCGACTCACTAGCATTATTAATTATTTTGTCATTTTTTAATTGGACAATGAGTAAGTCAAAGAACACATCTGATATCCATCTTACTTACTGGTGGTAGAACTTCCTGGTGCAATTGTTGAGCCAGGAACAGCTCCAGTAGGACCTGAGATTAAAAGCAGAAAATAATGAATAGTATTTTTATTTTATTTGGACCTATCTCCGTCCAATGTTTATTAACATACTAGGAGCTCTGGTAGCATAGTGGCTAAAGCACTTGACTGCTAACCAGAAGGCTGGCGGTTCAAACCCACCAGCTACTCCTCGGAAGGAAGGTTGGGCA